CTATGCCCTCTGGAATAAAAACCCCGATGTTCTCAACCTCTTCTCTGATTGTTCTTTCCCCTTCTTGCTTTTACTGAAACCTAGTCCTCTCCCTGTGTGGATCATAAATTATGGATAACATTGTGAAGAATGGGAATTCCGAACACTTAATTGTGCTCATGAGGAACCTGTACATAGATCAAGAGGCAGTCGTTTGAACAGAGCAAGGGGATACTGCGTGGTTTAAAGTCAGGAAAGATGTGCATGAGGGTTGTATCCTTTCACCATATTTATTCAGTCTGTATGCTGGGCAAATAATCTGAGAAGCTGGACTATATCAAGAAGAATGGGACATCAGGATTGGAGGAAGACTGATTAACAACCTGCGTTATGTGGATGACACAACCTTGCTTGCTGAAAGTGAGGAGGACTTGAAGAACTTACTGATGAGGATCAAAGATTACAGCCTTCAGTATGGATTACATTTCAATATAAAGACAACAAAAATCCTCACAACTGGACCAATAAGCAATATCATGATAAACAGAGAAAAGATTGAAGTTGTCAAGGATTTCATTTTACTTCGATCCGCAATCAACACTCATGGAAGTAGCAGTCAAGAAATCAAATGGTGCATTGCATTGGGAAAATCTGCTGCAAAAGACTTCTTTAAAGTGTTAAAAAACAAACATCACCATGAAGACTAAGGTGCATCTCACTCAAGCCACAGAATTTGCAATCACCTCATACGCATGCAAAAGCTGGACAATGAATAAGGAAGACCAAAGAACTGACGCCTTTGAATTATGGTGTTGGCAAAGAATATTGAATATACCATGGACTGCCAAAAGAAGAAACAAACCTGTCTTGGAAGAAGTACAGCCAGAACGCTCCTTAGAAGCAAGGATGGTGAGACTACGTCTCACATACTTTGGAGAAGGACATCATGCTTGGTAAAGTAGAGGGACAGCAAAAAAGAGGAAGACCCTCAACAAGATAGATTGACACAGTGGCTGTAACGATGGGCTCAAGTATGGCAAAGATTGTAAGGATGGTGCAGGACCAGGTAGTGTTTCTTTCTGTTGTACCTAGGGTCGTTATGAGTTGGAGCAGACTCGATGGCACCTAACAACAACAATAGCAGTCCTCTCTCCTGAGGACACAGCTTCCCTCTCAAGGGCTGGCTGCTTCTTCTCCCCCATCATAGATGTCCTGCTTGTGTCTTACTGCCTTTTGGACAATTCTTGTTCCCTCTTTTCAACTCCCCCAGCTTTGAAGCTCATGCCACCAGACTATATTACCCAATAACCCTGTTTGTTGTCATCATCTCCAGATATCCTGATCACTTAACCTCATCTTGAATATTGAGTTCCTTACTCTCTCCAACACTGCTCTCATCATTGTCCTTGGTGATTTCAATTTCCACAGTGATGATTGATCAATCTAATACTCTGACACCTCAGTCCCTTGACCTTCTCTGCCAATGATCTTGTCCTCCATCCTACTTCTGCATCACAATCAAACCCTAGACCTTGTCATTACCAATAACTCCACTCCCTTCATGGCCTCAATTTCAGGTCCCCCATTCCCAACCACTGCCTCCTGCCTTTCCAGTTCCTCAGCTCTAACAATTCTTAAACCTTACTGCCACCTCCAATGCATTGATTCTATCTTTTCACATCCCCACTTCCTTCCTTACCTGGCCTAGAGCCCAGAGTCCCCTGTTAAAATGATCACTGAAGTCAATCTTGGCATACACCTCAGCTCCCTTGTCCCTCTCTACCCTCCTGATATATTTCCTTGCAAAGCTCTCAAAAACCAGTTGCCATCAAGTCGACTCCAACCCATGGCGACCCCATGTGTGTCAGAGTAGAATTGTGCTCCATACGGTTTTCAGTGGCTGATTTCTTGGAAGTAGATTTCCAGGCCTTTCTTCTGAGGTGCCTCTGGGTAGACTCAATCTTCCAACCTTCTGGTTAGCAGCTGAGTGTGTTGTTTGCACTACTCAGGGACCATAGCAAAGCCCCAGCTCTGGTTAAATCCAACTCTTCCCTACTCTATGCTTAAACCAACAGAGCTGAACGTGGCTTGAGAAAAGCAAAATCATGCTTACTACTCTCACTTCAAAGGTAAGACCACCAACCTCAAGTGGGCCCAATGCTGCCTGGCAATCATTCTTTACTTCCCTAATCGGTTCTCTCTCCCACTGTCCTATTTCACACCTATCTCTTCTCTCTTAAACTTCCAATTCTTCCTCCCCACCTCACTCTCACTGTCTCAAGTCACTGAAAAAGTCATAAGCAATATGAAAAGGCACTGCACATCCCTCCACCACCTACCTGCTCCTGGCTCATATTCTTCACTTTCCCCTCATTACTAAGAATGAACTGTCCTTGCTCCTGTCTAAGGCTGCCCTCCCCACTGGCACGCTAGGTCATGTTTTCTTTCCTCTGCTGAAAGACAATACTCCACAGCTCTCTCTTCTCTCCTCTGCATCATCAGTTTCTCCCACTGTACTGGAACTTTCCCAATAGCACAAAAACAAACCGTCAGTTCATGCATCTTGAAAAATCAAAACTCTCTGGACTCCACTTTCTCCTCCAGCATCGACTCCACGTTTCTGCTGTCTTTCTCAGCAAAGCTCCGCTAATGAGTTGTCTCTGCTCACTGTCTTCTTCTCTTCCCATTTCCTTTTGTGGCTTTAGCACCACGCCACACAACTGCCTTTGTCACAGTCACTAATGACCACCTGCTAAGTCCAGTAATCAATTCTCTTCTTCTCTTGCTTGACCTCCTAGCAGCCTCTGACACAGTGGATTGCGCCCTCCTCCTTTCTTCCCTGGCTTTCAGGAGACCACTCTCTCCAGGTTTTCCTCTTCCCTTTCTAACTGTTCCCTCCCTATTTCTTTTTCTGTTTCCTCTTTATCTCCCTGACCCCTAAACATTGCAGCACTTCAATGCTCAGTTCTCAAACTTCTTCTCTTCTCATCTACACTCATTCCCTTGTCTAGTCTTAAGACTTCTTTAAGTACCATCACTACCATGTTACCCACGTTTCAGCAGAGCTTCCAGACTAAGACAGACTAGGAAAAAAGGCCTGGTGATTTATTTATGAAAATTAGCCAATGAAAACCCTATTTTCCAATATAGTACTGGAAGATGAGCCCCCTAGGTTGGAAGGCACTACACAATATAAATAACAATGGACTGAAATGTGCCAGTGATCATGAAGGTAATGCAGGAGTGGGTAACTCTTCATTACGTTGTACACAGGGTTGCCCTGAGTCAGAACTGACTTGATGGCAACTAACAACAACAACAACACTACCAACTCCCAATTCATATCATCAGCCTGGACATTATCCATGAACCCCAGACCCACACTGACCAATACAGTAGCTATTAACTACATGTGGCTATTTAATCACCACTGTTGGAATCGACTCAGTGGCAACCAGTACCATTATCACCCAGGAGCCCTGGTGGCACAATGGTTAAGCTTGGCTACTAACTGAAAGGTCAGCAGTTTGAACCTACCAGCCACTTTGCAGGAGAAAAAGACATGGCAATCTGCTCCCGTAAAGATTACAGCTTAGGAAACTCTATGGGGCAATTCTACTCTGTCCTATAGGGTTACTATATTGGAATTGACTTGATGGCACACAACAGCGACCACTATCACCACTACTACCACCATCAGCACCATTACCATCACCACCACCATCATCCTCACCACCACCACCATCATCACCACCACCACCATCATCACTAAAACTGTTGCTAAATTAACTCTTGCATGGAGCACCAAAAATATAGACAGGGAACCTACATGAATGGAATGGATCTGAAAGATTATGGTAAAATCGCTTAGTGGGCGTGGAATGATAAAGCGCTTTTCACAATCAGTTGATTTCTCAAACTCTAGTCTTGGGCAAGTGACAAGAAGAAAACGTTCCTACCCAATTACAATTATTCATGAGAATTTTCCTGGCCCTGCTTCTTTTGTCTGCCAGTGACTCTGACAGAAACAGCCCCGTAAGGAAGCGCAGCAAAAAGCAAGGGCAATTATGCATCTTGCTGCCTCTCGGATTTTGACTTCCTCCATGAACTCTTAATTAACTCCATCCCCATATTTTTGGTTTGTTTCCTGAACCTCTTGGTTATATTGTATTCCCTCTCTCCCTTCATTGCACTTGGCTTCCTCCCCGCTACGCTCCCTAATTCTCTTCCGGTCGTCTTTTCTATCCCCAAACTGCCCCTTGTTCAACCTTCAGCTTCCCTGCACCTGATCTGCTCTTTCTTTTTTCACCTTTAAAAAGCGAAAGCATCAAACTGACAGACATAGGGTTTTTTTTTCCCCCCTTTTCTGCCTGAGCTGCAGCTAAGGCTTTCTCCTCCTCGCTTCTATAGCAAGAGCCAGAGTACTGGGTTGCCATGGCAACAGCGAATCCAACCAGGCCGGTCCAAGCGACGCTAGGAGCTCTATGGCGAGGAAGCCGATACAAGTCGCCCCTGAGCCTAGATGGGTCACGAACATCTTAATTCAAGACCAGGTGCGGCCGATTCTGCCCGGAGACCAAGATTATACATCAGGCCCACAGCCGTACCGCTCATTAGGAGACAACACCATCAATAATAAGGCTTCCACAGAGCCAACAGAATACGTGATATTTTGAGGATTCATTTGAAATTTTTCAAACATCCCTATTCTTTTATTTTCTCTGAGGGAGAACATTTTGCCTCTCTCCTGAGTCTTAGGGAACTCTAGAAAGTAAAAGCGAAACAGACCCTTTTAATGTCATATGCCCCCTGGGTGACCCAGGTCAAATGATTTAGTAGAAATGACATGGCTGGGAACATCTTTGAGAATTAATTAGGATTACATGATGATATTTTAGTCTGTGAAGAGATCGGTTCCCCTACCCAGGTCACTGAAATGAATTGTTAAGTAGGGCAACAAGTGTTCCGTGAATGAGACTTTTTCCAAAACGTGAGCTGGTAAGAAAGGGTTGGGGAAATACCTTTGTAGCGAATGACACCAACCGCAGTGAGGGTCTGCTGCCGTTAAACACTCCGTACAGGATTTATGTTTACTGCAGTTTGCAACATGAATTCTCCTAACCTAAAAATAAAGATGATAGCAGTTCAGATGGAATTATAAGCAACACCAGAAAAACTACAACACCTTATCTGATGAAGGGCAGCAAAGGGCATATTTATCCACTCAAACTCTTAATGCCTCCATAATTACATTGGGCAGTGGTTCTCAAGTTTTAGGATTTGAAGTGGCTGTATCAGAATTATCTGGGGGAGCTTTTAAAAGTACATATTCCCAGACCCTCTGCCACTCTCACTTAGGAAGCCTGGGAGTGGGGCCTAGGAATCTGTATTTTCAAGAGCTCTCTCAGGTAAGTGTGATGTGCGGTCAGGTTTCTGATCTGCTAATAATTTCTATAGGGATCACAGAATCAGGTCACCCGGTTTGCATACCGAAACAATCAATGTGTGGTCAATGGCACCTTGGGGATAAGCATCTGGGGATACAAGAGGCTCTGCCCCAGGAGCATTAGCATGAAGTGGGCACCAGACAGGAAATGAGAAAGAGGAAGGCAGTTCTACTCTGTGCTATAGGGTCACTATGACTCAGAATCGACTCAACGACAACAGGTTTGGTTTTTGTTTTACACCTCTGTTAGAGGTGGCTCTATCATCTCAGCTCCTGGCTTGCTTGATCACACTCCCTCCACTGGAGTTGAGAATAAAAGAAACAGAGGAGTCGTCACTTTCCTGCCCCTAGAACTGCCTCTTCCAGTTGTCAGGAAACAGCAGCCCACAGGGTTGGCACCTGTGCTGGGCAGACCCAGGCATCTGAGGCACTCAGTCAGTCAGAGCCTCAAAGCAGGGCAGTGGGAGGCGCCTGAGAGTCTCAGGGCACCTTTTCTGCAGGCAAAATCACACAGCAGGTAGTAAGGACACTTGTGGAACTCACTACACCAGGAAGTTGTACACACTAGAAAGTATAAGTAACATCTTAAAAAGGCTAGGGAAAGGGACAGTTCTAGAAGGGGGTTATGAGGAAAACGAGGAATATCCTGAGGGGCATCCTTCAATTCTAAGTTGACTGCATGGTGGATGACCATACCCTTCCATTTCACAGCCCTTGACGCTCTGACAGATGCATTGGGCAGGCAATGGGTCTGAGCCAGAATTAGCCAGAATGTGGATATTTCCTTGGAGTTTGCAAAGCATCTTATTAATTCTGGTCATTTTTAATAAGCGTCACGTAATCTCTCTAAACTTGTTTCCTAATCTATAGAATGGTGATGGTAGTGTTGACTTCATTGGGATATTACAAACATTGTCTGGTACATACGAAGTCCTTAAATACTGGCTGTTATTATGATGTGAAAAAAGTGTTCCATGGTCCAACAAACATATGAAACCTCAGACTGAAAAGCTAAAGAGGTTTCCTTAGCACAAGTCTCCGAGAGCATTGGAATACGATGAGTACCATGACACTCCAGGAAGGGTTATAGTAAGCAACATCTGATCCTAGGACCACTTTTGCTCAGAACATCTGGTGGAACCTCTATGAGTCTCCAGAACATTCTTTGGCAACTACTACTCAATGCATTTAAACATGCAAACACATTGCTTTATGTAAAAGAGAGGACATAATAAATAGTACGTTAGGCTTGCTTCTCTACTTAATAACACACTATAGTGATTATCCCACAGCAACTCATATATCTCCATATGGTTATTTTTAATGGCCACATACCGTACCATTCTAAGGATGTTCTATGGATAAGTTTGACTGTCACTCTATCCCCAAGAGTTTAGGAAAGGATGTTCTTTAGGTTTTGCTTCTCTACAGGTTACACGGGGTATGAATCCAGGGACAACCAGAGTCTTTGTAACAGAATTCACAGTAATCCTAAATGAAGAATGTAGCAACAACCAGCTTTGATGCCCAGTCTATAACTCTTCTCAGGACTTCAGGCTTTGAATGACCAGAGACCAGAACTTTTTACCTTCCAGTAAATGAGGACCTGCTGATACTGGTGGGTCTCACAGTGGTTTCCTGTCTAGGGTCCTGGGCTCTGGGGGCCCATAAAAGTAGTAATGACGACTTGTGAGTTATCTGCAATATTTCAAAAAGCCAAATGGAAAACACACACAGATTAAGCAAGACTTCAAGTTTCTTTGCTTTGGGCTGGAATTTTATCAGCTCCGTGGGGTAGCATAGTTTGTACTCTGACTGGCAGTTCTGAGATGTGCTTTCACAAGTAAAGCCTGGGAATGGGAATCGTTCCTTCATACATACAGTTTGTTGAGTAAACAAAAACCTTTCAAATATGGGATTCCTGGGAAACAAACATACTAAAAAGTGTTGAAACAGTGAATTAAGGTGGCCAAGAAGATTCTGTATGGGGAGAAACCGGTTTACAAAGGTATGTAACATTCAGATGTAGCCATCTCAAAGGGCAAAGGATAGAATATGGCTATTTTAGGGACACCAGAGGCTACAAAATATTTGCACACCTACTTGTGACTCTAAAAAACACATGAAGTAGACTGATGTCATCATATCCTCCATCGAATGATGGAGAGAAAAAGAATAGAAAATGGGCGTGGGCTGAGGACATTGGCTGCATCCATTATTAAGTCTCGGTTATATTCTTTGCACTGTGTATGTTCAAACAGCCCTGGGTCAAAGCCACCATACCAGAATGGCCTGTTCTCACAAATTCGAGATTTGTCTCATTTAGCATAGGCTTTAGTATCAAGGCAGAGTTTAAGTTCTGGTTCTGACATGGTCTAACTTAGGTACAGTTGATTCTCATTATTTATAGTAGTTATAAAGTCTCCTCGAACACTCAATTAGCAAATACTGAACTATTACTCTTGGGGAAATACAGGAGAGGTCACTGTGAGCCTCTGGTCACAACATTTTTGTAAACTGATCAATACATAACCTTGTTTTATATGTGTTTCTGTTTAAAGGCACCTTATTCAATATATATTGTTGATGCGTTAACATTGAATTCACGACCAATGGCACTCTAACTCATGCCTGAAAGAAGTTTATCAATCACACATTTTTTCTGTAAGGCATATCACAGCCTTCTTGTGCATAGGAACAGTAGACAGCACTTCAGCACTATGGCTTGGGGGCCATTTTAAACAGCTCAATCACCAGACAAAAGCACAAAAATGTGAAAAACATGACACTAAACAGACCGCAGAAAGGATATTTGTTTACAGTTTAAGAGAGCTTAAACAGGAAGATAGGGTGAGTGCTATCTTGTTCGACCTTAGCTGTGAATGTGCGCGTTGGGCAACTTAAATTTTTTTTTTACTGTACTTTAGATGAAGGTTTACAGAACAAATAGTTTCTCATTAAACACTCAGTACACATATTGTTTTATGACATTGGTTAACAACCCAACGACATGTCAACACTCCCTTCTCAACCTTGAGGACCTTTTTTTTGTGAAAATATACATAGCCAAAGTTACACCATTTCAAAAGTTTCTACATGTACAATTCAGTGACATCGATT